GGTGTTACAAAAGGAGGTGTGGGGAGGTGGTCTAATCAATAGAATTCACCAAAGCAGAGATGCTAGATTTTAGCTCGCCATATATTAAGTTGGAGAAGTTAGTCTTGAAACGCAATTTCCATGACAAAATACTTGGTGTGACTCCTCCGAAAAAGTTATTGTCGAGAAACATGACTTTTCTCGACAATTTTGCCTGATACTAGCTATAGGCGGTCTTACACACGTGCCACCGATGTGCCAAAAGGGTGTGCCGCTATAGCATGGCACACATGAGATGGTAAAGAGAGCCATAAATGGACACTTGATGGTTATCGTGGGTTCATGACCATATACAAGTCGGGAGCATAATATGGAGCACACATGTAGGCCTAAACTTGCATAGTACATGTGCACATCATGGACCTTCGCATGATCTCTGTGAAGGATCCTTGAATAGCTTACGGATTGCTAACGCTTTGGCCACCTGAAATAGTCATGCTTTCATTAGCGTACAATGGGTCCGAGATGCATAAATACAGCCATTAATTCATACTAAAATTGTGACATGCAACTTCCTTAAGTGTTATTCGCTAAACCTTGATTCACAAGATGATAACCACCGTGTTTTGGATAAACAAGAGATATAACGAGAACATAGAGTTTCTTGCCCGCTTCAAGTCTATATAAACTAGATGATCCCCCATGCGTTGCTGCTGGAATTGGTTGCAATACGTTTCAATGAGATATGATTGTCTGGAATATAAATATTTATATTTAGAATAATAACACATGAACGAAAATTAAAAATGCATAAGACTTATTATATTTGATTATGGATAGTTGTAAAATATTTGTTGAATATGAGCACAATAATAGAATGAAAAATATTTTCGCATGCATGATTGTATGTAGTGGTGGGTCTTTTCCCATGCATGGTTGTACGTACGCTGATGTGACATGCTTGCATGTTGAAATAAATAATTTAGTGAAGATCACTCTCTTAGGTATATATGATGACATCCAAAACAAATGCTTAGGATTAGACTCCTCATATACAAACATTGAACAATTGCACTCCTTGAATCATAAATTTTTGTTCTCTCTAGACTCTCATTTTTCAAATAAAATGATATTGACAATGATGGAAATAAAGCTTCAAACTCACAACCAATCTCACGGCTCAGCTCGCCTGTGGTCCATCTGCTAAAGCCTAGAGCAGAGACCTAGCGAAGGGGATATGAGAAAGGAGAGAACCCGTCCAGTAGAGAGCTTGCACATTATTGTCTGACAACTACGTTCATTGACACCAAATCTTTCTCTCTTAAGTATATTGTAGGATAGAGGTAGGACTTTAATTACAGTAAGACAACCTTTATGACGAGACGGTTACGTCGCCTGCACGAGTTGCAGGCAAAAGTTTTTTTTCCTTTGCAAAGAACCTAATGCTTCCTTTGAAGCTCATGGGCGCATCCCTAGGACGATGCTCGAAGATGGCCTTCATGAAGCCACTTGCCGACAGCCCACAACCATCATAGATCGATGCCGTAGCAATTCGGCTCCTCCGGAGAAAGATTGGCTAGGGTTACCCTCACCGTCGCTGCACCGACTCACCGGAAGCAAGCTCGCCACCTCACGGGGTGGCTTCAATTTGGTTTCCAGTCCATTTTTTTAGGGGTTCCAGTCCATTTTCTGCGTTTACGGACTGTGGGTTAGCTACCCAACTCACCGCATAGGCCCATGCCCAGCCCAACTAGGTAGTACACATCTAACCTCCCTTCGGCTCACCCCAGTCCTCACCTCCTTGCGCCGCTGCACCGCCGACTCTCAGTCACGAGGCAGAGGCAGGCAGTAGGCACCCCGCACCTCCCCATCCTGAAGCCCTAGATCGTGAATCGGCGGTGGCGCAGCGCCTGCACGCTGGCGGCGGCCGCCTCTCCCGCTCCCGGCCTCGCCCCCGCCCCCGCCCCCGCTCCCGTCGTCTACCTTCTCCTGTTCGTCCCGTTCCCATCCGGCTGTCACTCTCCATCCATCTGCGTGAATTTTGGTTGGTTGCTTGCTTGTCTTCGCATTGTTGCTTGCTGTTGGATTCTGCTGATGCTCATCGCTGCTTGCTTGCCGACGCTACTGCTCGCCGAGTTGCTATCGAATTTGCAAATTAAATCCGCTGCATCCGCACATATGTTCAGCAGATTACTGACGGCCGCCAGTCGAGCTGATGGAGTTTTTCCCCATTTCTTGCTCGGTACGCCGTTAGTTTTTTTTTTCGAGGTCACGGTGCTCCCCGTTAGTTTTTTTTTTTTGCCTCATCTCTTTGGGCCCATTTTTCTTTCGGGGCGACCATGCGGCTCGTATGTCGCGGGCCCGGCCCACAGCGCATTCGGCCGACCCAGTCCAGTCCCGCCGCCGCTACTGCCTGCCACCCGCACCCGGCGGCGGTTTCTACTTTTTCGTCCGTCCCAAGCAAGTCTCTCCTCGCGAAATAAAAAAAAGATCCCCTTTGCCAGCGCCGGCAGCACGGAACCATCAGCGCGGTGGCCACAGCCCTTCCTCTCCGGCGGCGAGCTCCTCCTCCGCCCACCCCCCCACCCCAATCCGGGTGGGCTGGCGTGGTCCGAAGATCCGTCGGCCGTGGTTCCTCTCGCCGGTGAGGAAGCCCTAGCTTGCTGCCGCTTGAATTGTTTGTTCGCTGTGCCCTGGTGTTCTTTTTTGCTTCGATACAGTCTAATTCTTCCAGATCTGCCTCAGCCCGACCCCCGTGCAGCGGCTGCGTCCGCCCCTGTTTTCCGGTGGTTGGGTTTTCAGCCTAAAAACCATTTTTTGGGGGCGGAAGGTCGATTGAATCCTCGTGCCTAAGCACTGAGTTTTCAGATTGGTTGTCAGACGTTGTTTAGTCCGCGTGTACGGAGACGTGTATATTTTAGGGTTTTGCTGGCAGGTCCTTAACTCCGTGGAATGGTACCTATGCTTGTTTTCATGCTGTCATGCCGTGCAATCTACTATACACGAGAGAAATATCACATCCATTTCCCTGAAATGTTGAATGCCCATGTACTGAGTCGTCTCAGCGCGCGATTTCTGTTAATTCTGATTCTGAGATGCATGTTACACTTGCTGGTTGGTTATAATAAGGTATAGTATATCTTTGCCGTGGAGTTTCCATTTCATTTCATTGGATGATTGGTGTTGTTAGCCCCCTGTTTCCTCATGTTCAACTGAATCTGGGCCGTGTGCACTGTCGGGCGTCGGATGATGGTTGGATCACATAGAATGGGTGGTGGCGATGCTTTCCTTGCCCGTGTGTGTATCTCTCCCCGCGAAGAGGTACCTGCAAATATGATTTCTTGGTCCGCAAGTTGCGTGGGAGTATTACGTATCGCCCAAGGCATTGGTATAATTTGAATGCCATGCAGTTTTACTAATTAAAAAGATTAAAGTTTGCGGCTTAATACATCAGAACAAAAATTGAGGCGTTTAGTCCAGAGTATCTTATATCGGTACTTAATTACTCGCAGAAAAGAATTTGTTGGTTCACGAGTAACTTTCTTGATTTGGCTATTGTCTGTATCCGACCTAAATGGTAACGGTGGTGTTTCCTTCTCAAATTAATGTGACACGTGTATATGTAGGGCTGGGTCATGGTAGCACCCCATGGGGTCGATGCACCTGATATGTTTTCATACAGGGATGGGTATTTCTATGGTTTCCTGCTGTACAGTTGCTAACATTGCGGAATTGTTTCTGCATATTGCGTCGCGATGTAGAATTAATACACACGAAAACTGGCAGTTTTTCTTTTGAATGCTTGCACATGATGATGTTGTTTTGCAATGCCATTTCTGTTGGTTCCTACTTGCCTGACCTGTTCCACTTGCTACGTGGATAACGCACGTAGACAAGCTTTAGTATCATTAATGCAGGCCAGTTTTTACATGTTGAATGATTTGTGTTGTGAACCGCTCCTCATATCACGCTGAACACATGCGGAATGATTTCTTGGCCCACGAGTAGCTATATGCTCATGTCAGTGTCATTATTTAACAACTTCAATTTTATGGCTTAAAACAATGAAGGTTGTGTCAAGAATATCTTGTATTTTTTATGTATATTTGTACTTGTATAAAAAAGGCTTCTTGGACGGGTCTGGTGCAGTGGCGAAGTACTCCCCACTGTGCCAAGAGGTCCTGGGTTCGATGCGCCCTCTCTGCTTTGCACTGTGCAGGGGTAAGGTTACCTCCTATAATCCTTCCCCAGACTCCACCTGGTGTGGGAGCTTCTAGCACTGGGCCTGTCCTTATTGTTGTGCAAGAAATTACTCTATTGAACTATAGTGTCAAAAAACGTCTTACGTTATGGGATGGAGGGAGTATCATATCATGCATTTTTACTATCAAAAATTGTCTGAATTGCGTTTTCTTTCCTGTAAGGCCGATTACAATAGCACAAAGAGCATTAGCACTTATTGTTACACTCTATATACTATTGCAGTAAACATGTCTTGGTGGTGAGGCTAGAAATAAGCATTCAACTATCCTGCCAATTTTTGTTCGGTGTAAAAGAACATACTTTGTTTTGGCCCTTCAGTATATATTTGTTGATTTTCCTTTTTCGGAGTCAAGTACCATGAATTCAAGTATGCTTCTGTGAATTAGTTAGATACGACTTCCGTGCATAAATTCTTGACTCCTGTGTATTTTGTATGACTGACATCATTCATTACCTCATACAGGATCATTCTCTACTGCTGTGTGGTCAAAATGAAGGGAGACCTGTAAATTGTGTACCATATTAAGGTTATTTCGTATTTCTCCATCTGTTCTGGTAGGAACCAAGCTAGACAATGGCGTCGCCACAAGAATCCAAACCCTTGTGCTTGAAGCGCAAGCTTGTCGACAACTGCCTGTCAAAAGAGTGCAAGTCTCGTCGAGTCGTGGTTGACAATGGACCCTCTGATCCATCTGCTAAACGGTGCAAGTGCTGTTGCACGCGACCTAATCTTGCCAGTGATTGCGTCAATTACCTGAAAAGTGGAGTTCCCAGCCGTATCGTGTTTTATAAACAAGATTCTTGGCACAATTTTCCTGAGCAAATAATGAAGTCCCTGATTGAAGGATTTAAAGGCGGCAAATCTAGCGTTGTGGCTGTGATGGATGATGAGCCTGTTCTTGTTGATTTCTTGTCAATGAGTCTTGTCAACCTACAAACAAGAAAACAGCAATCTGTTGCATGGTACGATGATACTGGAAAGGGCTTTTTTCCTTCTCTGTTCTTTGACGAGGAAGGTGATGAAACGGCCAATTTGGACTCTAGTAATGTTGAGGATGGTGCACAGGGAATAATGCTGGATAAGGCTGTAAGTTCTCCAGAGGAAGTGGTGAAGCAAGTTGTTCTTGAATCTGGCCCTCCGGGGCCACATAAGCCTTCCACTGCAGACATATTACGTAAAAAGATCACATCTGTGGAAAGAGGAAGCGAAGACTTTTTGCTTGTTCAGGACCTTTTTCTCTCTGGTATGGGTCCGTTTGCAACACCGAATAACATACTTCATATCCACCGCTACTCCCCGAATGATATCACTGCTCAGTGTCGACTTCAAGCTTTTGAAAAACAAATGAGCTGCACCAAAGAAGATCGTGGTGATTCAAATGTAAGATATGGATGGCTGGGTTCTACGAAGAGTGACATAGTTAGGATTCTAATTAATGGGTTTGGTAACACCGGAAAACCTGCTGAGAAGGCATGCTTGAGCGCTGGTGTTTATCTTTCACCAGAAGATCGCGCCTTTACCAGGTGTGTTATCTTAACTCAGTATGCTGACTATTCCATTTTATCAGTTAATATGCTTGATCGTATTTCATTGTTTTGCAGTGTCGGTCTTTGTGATGTTGACGAAAAAGCGGTGCAGTATATGTTATTGTGCCGAGTGATATTGGGCAACATGGAAGCTATCACGCCTGGATCACAAGATTCTTTTCCAAGCAGCGAAATATATGATTCCGGAGTTGATGATTGCTCCAACCCAAAGTGTTATGTTATGTGGCCATCCCATCTTAACACTCACATCCGTTTAGAATATCTTGTTAGTTTCAGACTTTCACCAAAAGTTCGAAGTAAGATGGTTAATAAGTGTTAAGACCTTTAATACGTCATATCAAAACAAGATAAGTGGAGTGAGTCTGTCTTTTTGGTGAACTTATTTTCAGATTATTTACTTGGCTTGAAGGGTTTATGGTTTCACCCATCACCAAAGGAAGTTGCTATGGATATTTCTACTCTTCAACCTGTGAGGCACCTTACTGTTTTTTCAGATTGATCACTGTTGGACAATAGAAGCTTGTTCTTGTAGAAGTCCAGCTATGCTGCTCGATATTTTACATTATCTGCTTCATGTAATGTTTCTAGCTTTGGTTCACAGTACTCCACTTATGCAACCAGACCTATCTGTATGCAGATAATGGGTGAAACTGGTGAAGCACCAACATCCCCATGGATATCCTTCAGAGTTCTGTTTGCAATGATCCAAGACAATATATCATCTGTAGCAAAGGAACTGCTCTTCCATCATTATGAAGAGCTGAAGGTACTATCAGAGTCTAATCTAATAAGTAATGTCGTGTCTATTAGCTTCCATTTTTTGGCGGTATGATGGGCAAGGGAACATTTCCTTTTCTCTATCTGACAGGAAAACGAAATAAGTCGTGAAGAAATGGTGAAGAAGATGATAATAATAGTCGGAGAAAAGTTACTTTTGGAAACTTTAAAGAAACTCCATTACTGTGTAAGTCTCCTGTTGTGCTTTCTTCCTTAAGACACCTATATTAATATGCATATTTCTCAGTGCATCCACACACTAATGTAGCTGTTGGCTCATGTAGTCATACTTGTGCCTGTAAATGGTCAGACACAAAATTATATAGGGAGCATAGGCCCACATGTGAAGCTTGCCAATTCCTCATGTTCCTTTGCGGAACTGGTACTAGATGCACACAGCTTGCACTTACGTTCATAAGTGTATACAACATAAAATTCAGTTTGTGATCGTGTGATGTGTAATGCATGAATATGGCTGCATGACAGACATGCACCTCTCCAAAACCACCATGAGTTATCTTTCCAGAAGGGAAAGTATTAGATATGCAACTCCTTCTAGGAATCCTAATTTGCAATTAAGTGGTGATGGCGCACAGTTCAGAATCTTTTAACTCCAGTAGCATGTATCATAAATTCTGTACAGAAAATTCAGTTTGTGATCGTGTGATGTGTAATACATAAATATGGCTGCATGACAGACATGCACCTCTCCAAAACCACCACCAGTTATCTTTCCAGAAGGGAAGGTATTAGATATGCAACTCCTGTTTCTAGGAATCCTAATTTGCAATTAAGTGGTGATGGTGCACAGTTCAGAATCCTTTAACTCCAGTAGCATGTATCATAAATTCTGTATGATGGTTTGTAAGCACATAGCTCGTAGAATGAGGCACACATGACCCTTTTATGGAAAGAAAACTGGATAAAAAACTCTAATAAGGCTGTCATGTGCGAATTACTAATTATTTGCTATATTTGTTGGTTGAGAATTTTACGATTCATTGTAACGAATTTGATACATGAATATAGAAATCATTCGAATATATTTTACCCTACCCCAATTTGCTGGGACAAAAGGCTTTGTTGTTGTTGCTGCCCTTCTTAAGCACACCAGTTATGTATGTACAAATATTACATGTTGCTATTTAGTTAATTACCCTCCTTGGCTAGTAAGGTTTGTGTTTAGCATAACTTTGTTTTTGGATCTGTTGCAGCCATCACTATGGCATAAATCTTCTGTCGAAGTGATGTCCAGTGATCCTGCAAGGGTAGCAGCAGAAGATCCTGCAAGGACAACAGAAGAACACATATCCTTGGATAAAACAACTGGGCATTGTGCACTAACTCTTGGTAACCTTGGCGATTCCTGTGGACCAAATACATTGGCTGAAAGTTCCACAGCTCTTAGCACCAAAGGATGTGATACTCTTGCAGTAGCTACGGTGCCCAAAAGCCATGATTCTGTCGCACCAAGCAGTGTGCCTGAATCATCTACTTCTTCTGGTGCCATATGCCTAGCTTCCCCAAGTGTGAAACCCAAAAGTAGGGATTCTCCTATAAGAATAATGTCACCTGAAAGCTCTGCAAATCATGGTGCCAAAAATCAGGATCCTTCTGCAGTTAGAATGGCACCTCTTCATGACGTCCTTCTGAGGACAGCTTCTGGAAAATCTGCATCTCATGGTGCGGAAGGTAGCAATGGTGTTGCACCAAGTATGAGACCTCATGGTTATGCTTATCCAGCACCAACTAATGCCTCAAAAGGCCGTGGGATTGGTGCTCCAGGACTCAGTCTGAAGGGCTCTGAATGTCCTGGGCCAGTTTTGGCACTGGGAAGCACCAAATTCAGAGGGATGAAAAGTCCCAGCTCTGTGCCAAGAATGACACCTGAAGGCCCGGAATTTCTTTCACTGAGTATTGCGCCACAAAGCCAAGTAATTTACCCAACTAAGTGCCATGGTGGTGATTTGAGTTCTTGTGCCGCACCTCCAGCTCATGTGCCAGGTAACTTGTGGATTATGTGTGTAAAACTGATTCTTTCCTGCCAAGTATGTGAATCATTGAGGCTGTTCATGATCATGCAGGACATGTGAACTCTTCAGCTTTGAGCGCAGAAGGCTGCGATTCTCTAGCACTGAGCATCGCGCCAAACTGCCATGATCCTCCAGCATCAAGCAACAACGAGCCAGCGTTCCCTGGGGCTCCAACAACACATACAGCATCTGAAGGCGAGCACTCTCAGGCGCCGAGTGCAGCCACCATGGGTTATACTGCTCCTGCACCGAGTACGTCTGTCATAAACACCTTTTAGCCTGCAACCACCATCATTCCTGTTTCCACTGACACCGACACTACTTAACCAATTGCAGCAACCGGGGAGGCTGTACAATTTGGACCCTGCAATAAGCCATCGGCGCCCATCCCTGAGCCCGGCAGCAACGTCGCTCAGGCGGCTGACATCCTCGTCGCCCTATCAACTCCGCGAGAGAAGGGCAAGTAGCAGAGGGGACAGCCGAGATTGCACCGCCGATGACCCCTTTGGTCCCCGTTTTGGATCTCTGTTGCTGTACATGTAAATGTTTACCCGTTTCATGTGCTGGATGGTGGCTTGGCTTGCCGTTGTACAGGCGGGGGGAACTTGTGCTGTTAGCTCAGGTGTAAACAAACCAGTGGGATGTGCTGTTAGTTTCGGTTAATCTGTAGGGATACATACCAGTCACCCTGTCGACTCTGAACATAAGTAACTGTTTATCTGTTGAACTTGGCAACTGTTATCTCCTCTGTTTCATGTGCCTGTGGCCGTGGTGTTGTTGTTTAATCTCTGTGTACTCTTAGTTTACCTGTTTGTCCAATGTTGAACCTACGCCAGGAATTTCCTGGCATTCCAGCCTCGACATGGTAATTGGCACGCCCAATTGGTGTTGTATACATCACCACAAGGCTTCTTCCTCGGACCGGTGGTGCAAAAATACTTCTTGCACGACGAGGAAAGAAGTTGGCAATGGCCTAAATACTGTAAAAATCGGAAGGCATGTTTATGCCATCTGAGTTCATACTTCACTAAATTATGGTTGCAGTCCTGCTCTTTTATGCATTGCTTTGTACTAGTTTGTATAAGTATTGTGTTGCTGCAGGCCTAAGATATTTGTTAAATAAGTTCGTTGACTTCTCTTGTATTGCAGTAGTATTTATGGTTTTATATACATCTTTTAATTTTCTGTAACACGGACGGACGCTGTATAAGGGAGTGATTTTTGGGATCATCTGGAGATGCTCTCGCAAGTCACAAGAAAGTGTACAGAGGGAGAAGTTTCACAAGTAAAGATTGTGTTTTTCTCGCTGACATTTTGAAGATGGTTGGTTAGGTGGGCACACACAAACAGATTTACCATCTGGTATTTCAACATTGTTTTTTGAACATGTATTTCAACATTTTCTGCGGTGACAGCTCCTTCAACCTAATTTTCTATTGGTTTTTTTTTCAGGGAAAAAAACAGATGTGCTTAGTGACGGTGGTTACCAAGAAGGCGCCAAGAAGGTGCCATTTGGAACGAACTGCATATCCACAAGACCACACAAGTCACCAACAGCTTTCACTACAAGGCACGAGCACAAGTCCATGCAGGCTCCGGCGCGCGCTGTGAGCTCATCCACCATTTCTGTTGTCTGCTCTGCCTTCCCCTTCCTACCATTTCCTCGCGCAACCATCTAATATGGCCGGATCGATGGTGAGGGCCGCCACGGGGGCCTTCGGGTCCGTCCTGGAGAAGCTGGCCGGCATGCTGGGCGGCGCGTGCGTGGCGAGGTGATGTTCCTCAAGGCAGAGCTCGGGCACATGGGCGCGTTCCTCGTAAGGCTGCCCCGGGCGGAGGACCCCGACGAGCAGGCCAGGCGCTGGATGGCCGAGGTGCGCGAGCTCTCCTACGACGTCGAGGACAGCGTCGATGAGTTCACGCTCTGCCAACAAAATCTACCACACGTTTGGAGAGCAATTCAAGTACCGGGTTTTCGTGTCCGTCTCTCAAAACACTGATATGATGAAGGTTCTGAGAGGTATTCTGAGCCAACTGAGCAAGCGAGAGTACAGTAGCACTGAATCTGGGGATGAGAGACAACTCATTGACAACATTTCAGATTTCCTTCGAGACAAAAGGTATGAAGTTATAATGACCTCTATGGCTAATCCATCAATACAAACTTTGGTTATTTGCACTTTAGAAACACTACAGCCTATGACTAATTTTACAACCAAATTCATCTGGCAGGTATTTTATTATGCTTGATGATGTATGGAGCGTAGAAACATGGGAGATTATCAAGTGTGCAATTCCCGGAAACAGTTTTGGTAGTAGAGTAATCACAACAACGCGTATAAAGGTAGTGGCCGAATCTTGCTCCTCCACAAATCATGTTTATGAAATAAGGCCTCTTAACGCCGTGCACTCAAAGGGGTTGTTCCTCAAGAGAATATTCAGTTCAAACAGTTTCCCCGACACGTCAACAGAATTTGTGATGATATATTGAAGAAATGTGGTGGTTTGCCGCTGGACATTATTACCATTTCTGGCTTACTGGCGAACAAAGCTCAGACCGTGGATCAACGGGCCCAAGTACAAAGTTCAATTGGTTATGCACTTCAAAGATATCCAAGTTTGAAAGAATGATAAAGATACTATCCCTTAGTTACTCTGACCTCCATCAAGATCTGAAAACTTGTCTATTGTATCTGAGTATATTCCCAGAGGATTATCCCATTTATAAGAGCCGTCTGATAAGAAGATGGATTGCAGAGGGATTTATTCAAAGGAGAAGCGGGCACACTATGTATGAACTGGGGGAGAGGTGCTTCAGTGAGCTGATCAACAGGAGCCTGATCCAACCATGGGATATAAATAGGTACAGGGAGGTGACAGTATGCCGAGTTCATGACACAGTCCTTGATTTCATAGTGTACAAGTCAGTTGAGGAGAACTTTGTCACCCTACTTGGTGTTCTGGAGCTTAGGCCTCCTTTGGTTTAGAGGAATTTCATAGGAATTCTAGAGGATAGGATTTTTATAGGATTTTTTCCTTTAAAGCCCTTTGGTTCATAGGAATGGATTCCTATTCCTACATAGGATTAGTTCCTATCCTCCATATTTTATAGGAAAATAAAAAAGAGCCTAGACTCAATGAAAAAATTTCTTTGGTGTCAACCAAATGACATCTTGTTTTCTATTCCTGCTCATAAGATTTGAGATACATGTCATCTCATTTCCTACAAGATTCCTATTCCTATGATAATCCTATCCTATGAACCAAAAGAGGCCTTACTGTTAGGCCACATAACAAGGTTCATCGATTGTCTCTCCAGCACAAGAGCAATGGAGATGTTGTCCTACAACCAAACTTGATTTATTCTCATGCTCGATCACTTACGCTTTGTTTGGATGTTTGCATTGCATTGGGTTGAATACCAATATCACAGGATATTGGTATTGAAATTGAATGCTAATATTTCTGTTTGGATGTTTAGGTATTCAGAACGCAGACTTGATATTGAGGTTGAATGTCAAATGTTGGTCAAAATGAGGAATTGAGTTGCAAGAGACTTTGATTTTTATGTTTAACATCCGAATATAGGTCAAAGTGAGGAATAGCGCGGGACCGAGGGCAAGAGAGCCATGGGGGTAAGTGCCATGGCAGCAGAAGGACGCAACAGGCTCCACGGGGTGCCGACAGTGTTGGGCGAGGGGCGGCGGCACGGTCGGCATGAGTGGCACGAGCCACGAGGCAGAGGTCGCCATGGGGTGCTAGTCGTGCTGGGCGAGCCACCAGGGAGAGATGGGGGCGCCGACGTCCAACTCGCAGCTAGCCGCTTCTAGTCTCTCTACCAGCCGAATCAATTTTTTAGGGCCGAAGTGGGATGCGACATGCGGGGGGAGCGAACTGTGCGAATACCAAGCAAAACCGAGGGGTAGAGCTCCGAATTGGAGACTGGGTCGTGCAAGTGTTGCGGTGGGGCATCGAATATTGGGATTCAATCCCAAGCGCGAATGCCATGGCCTGCCAAACAGCGGTATTCGGCTACCCGGATGCCAACATCCAAACGCAGTGTTACTGTTTTTGGGCGTTCGATGCCAATCCCTTCTCTGTTGAAATCCAGATTTTTGCGGGTTTTGAACCTGGAAGGCTGTCACATGTCAGCAGGCTATCTTAACAACATATCTAGCTTATTTCAACTCAAGTACCTTAGCCTCAGAAACACACGTATTACCATTACTGAGCTCCCGGAACAAATCGGCTGAACGCGGTTGTTTTCAGGCGGGAAACGCCGTCCCTGACCGCCGCTTTGAAAGCCTGCCGCGACGACGCCATCCTCTGGCGCGGCCGGTTTCGCCCTTCGGATCGTGGACATATTGATGCATGGCTGCTGGTCTTGCGTGGGTAGAACAGAATCTGCCTCCTTCTCTCTGATGCCTCCCCGGCATTTGTACCGCCGTACGTAGGCACATGCTTTGTTCTTACAACAGGTATACGAATAAGAATCTTGTCACGCGGCTGAAGCCGGCTTTCGGTACGTATTTACCCGCTTTAGCATGCAGCTGAAGCAATCGAGGCCGGGAATTTATCACCCCGACCGACCGATCGCGATGCCATGGCTTTGGCGCCATTAAACCACTGTGGAAATGTAGGTGCAGGAAGGAAAGCATCTCACACGCAAAAACACCGTCCTCTTTTTCTTTATTTAATTATTAAAAACCCACACCACACACGATTGTCATTATACACAAGAGATGGGCATCCTCTCTTGCTTTTGGTACTACACAACTTTGCGTGTGATGCCGACTTGCACCCCGCCGCTATTTCTTCTCACCCAGCCGGCCAGCCCCGCTCCCCTTCCCCTGCCCCCTCGTCCTCACGAGAGCCAGCCGCGCGGCCGCGACACGACGTCGCTGTCCCCAGGCCCAGCCCGACGGCAGCACCGCTCCGGCTTCCTGCTGCCCGACTTCGACTTCGATTCGGTATTGCCTTCCTCTCCCCCTCCGCTCTCCCGGTTCCTTCATTGGTTGTTGCTCCAGGTCCAGGATTTGTTGAAAATTCTAAACTTACGGGCAGCACCTTATACGGGCTACCCTCTACGGACGACTATGGCCCCACCTGTAATCCCTCCTCCCCTCGTGATTTCAGTGGTCTGACCCCGTTGATTTCCAATTAGTTTGCTCCATGTACTCTTGTAGATTGCAACCAGTAACAAATGTCCGTAGCTCTAGCAAAGTTGAGTATGCATATCCCTAGCTAGTTTGGACCTAAAGGCAACTGATTAGCGCAACGCTTAAAGCGGAAATTGCCTTTGCAGGCTCGGCCTCCAAATTCAAATTTCATATTTCTATTCTTTGGGATCAATATATAGGCCATTCTGACGACACTTAGAGCTCACGGCTTCTTTTTTATCCGCTGGATGGACATGGAAACTGGAAAGCGGCTTGTAGCAGTTGCATTATTCAACTTGATTATAGGC